TTATTATTATTATTAGACTTTTAACAAACAAGAAAATAAAACAAGAATGTTTTTTTTTTAAAATAACAGCCTACAAGGCTCATTGGCGGCTGAGCCTTGTAAGGCTCATTGGCAGTTGAGCCTTACAAGGCTTATCGGAATTTGAGCCTCGTTTTAGAAAACCTGATTTACACGGCGTTAAAAATGGTTGCCCTTTTGGTTTCATAATTAATTGAGTTGCCCTTTTGAAATTTTCGAAAAAATTTGTTGCCCTTTTGGTTTCGGACTCTCAAAAATTAAGCAACAAAAAGTTCTTTTTAAGAAGGGAAAAAATTGATGAAGAGGGTCCAAAAATTAAACAACAAAAACTCTTTTTAAAAAGGGAAAAAAATTGTTGCAATTGAGATTTGAACACGGAGCACTGACATTTTACGAAGAGGGTCCAAAAATTAAACAACAAAAGCTCTTTTTAAAAAGGGAAAAAAATTGTTGCAAGTGAGATTTGAACACGCGAGCACTGACTCATTAAAGATATCAAAACACACATTTAAAACATCTTAAACCACTAGGATATAACAACCTATTATGTAAAGGTTGTCCAAAATATGTTATTTAATCACTTCGTGTATCAGTTTACTTGTATATGCAATATTTTTTCCAACGAAAGGTGTCCAATTGGACACCCTAACATACATGTGCCTATGCCCCTGAGTACTGCATGAGCTCGTAAGTAAAGTATGAAAAAATCTTATCTTCGAATAAAAATGATCTTATTGTGCTTGCTTTTGACAAAGCCTCTGGCTCTAAATAATAGGAACTATATTATGGTAGGATTAATATCATTGATCATTATAAGCTATAGCATAGGCCGATGCGGTGAAGTAGAATTTGAAATTTATGGGTCTGAATTTGTCACTAAATGCATACATAGCTCATTTTAGTTACTGAATTTGCATTTTAATATTTTTACATATCTAATTGATTTTGTAATACAAATACATAATTAAGCAAAAGCTACTAAATTTATTTAAATTTGTACCTGGTAATATAGCTCTAACCTGAGTATAACAGGCTATGTATAAAGGCGAGCAACCTTATAACAATAACAAACAACCTATTTATAGCCTATCCACAGGTCAAACAATATTGATAGGGGGTACTCTTGCCTAACAGAATTAGCCCAACATAACAATAATGGGTAGACTAAAAATCTACACCGTCATTGCATGCTTGCTTTGTGCACTGACATAACAAATTCGCATTGACTGGCTCAAATGAGTTGCTCTTGGCTTTGTAAACATATTTAGGTGATTATATTTTACCTTTTCACTATCAATGAGTAGGCAACTTTGGATGCAACTTTGAAAATTTATGGAGATCTGTCTTTGGTTAAGATCTGTTACGTGTGTGCTTTCTTGGGTGCTACTTAGAATAGAAATAATTTTCTAAAATAGATAAAGAGTTATTTACAAATTATCGAAAGTCTCGTTTGATCTGACTTGATATGAATTTAGATCTCTAACTTGAGAATGTGAATAAGGACATTCTAATCGATCCGATCGGTTATCATTTTAGTTTGATTGAAATGTGAAAAGCACTAATTCTTTTTTCTCAGTTGGTATACTATGGTGAGGAGAATCCCAACCCCATCCTTAGTTACTGCTTTCCCTTTTTTCAATCTATGCCATATCTCCATTAGTTCTTCGCTAATGCCTTTTAGCTTTCATTTAACTACTATTTTTTTCTTCCTCTACACCTCATAAGAGTAGTGAGTGTGCCTACTCCATCCTTTTACAAAATAAATATTGTAGGGAAAGTTATTGGAAAGGAGGGACTTCACTAAAGATGGTTTATATGTGCGTGTAAAAGGGTCTTTTTCATTTTTCCTTGTATTGTTTGACTAGCTACACTTTGTAAGTAAGGAAAGGCATAGAAAAAAGTGGAGATTGAAGTGATCCCTTAATATTGGACAAGAAATTGGAAGAAAAATAGAGTTTGCCTAAAGAACAAATAGGAGAATTGTTCTTGAACAGCTAACACTCAAAGAGTTCTGAAGAATTACTACATTTAAATACTGTATGCAGTACTTCAAATTGAGCTAAAAGAAATTCATTTTAATAGGGTTGTAACAATACTCCCCATCAAACCATCCTTGTCCTCAAGGATGAAATTGAGGAAATTGTTGGCAAAAAGTATGATGATCTTCCCAGATATTATCTTTTTCTAGAGCATTGAACCACTTGATAAACCATTAAGAAACAAGCATGTCATTCTTCTAAACCATTCTTTTATTGAAGATGGCATCAGGAACCAAAAGAACATGGCCTGAAGAAGAGTGCCCAATAGGTAGAATGACTGAAGTAGGATGAAAGTCAATCTTCTTCGGGAAATATGAAATGTGGGGTGAACCTCGGAATTTGTTGACAATGCCAAGGTGTAAGCCACTTTGCCCACATGTCCATAATTTGTAAAGGGCTAAAAAAGTTTGCGAAGAGCTCCTGAAAAGTGTGAGATTTAATGAAAAGTTGTATGTAAGGTTGGAGTTCCACATAAATTCAATCACCAACATTGTAAGTTTTGTTCGTCCTTCCCTTATCAGCTTAGAACTTCATTCGATTATGAGTCTTAAGAGGTTTGTAGAAGACTTTAGAATATCCTGGAAGAGTTTTTGAAAGACTTTAGAATTCTCTAGGCCTGCAGTGAATTCTAGAAGAGACCAAATTGTAAATATACAAGGACTTGTGTAGTAATTTTTATTTTCACTTTATCCCCTAGATGTGTAGTATAAATAGAGGGGCTCTCATTTGCAAACCAACCAAACAAGTGTAAAGCATTCTCCAAGCAATACAAAAATCTTCTTATAAGCTCTTTTTTTGTCTTTCATTCGTTTAGAGGTCTAAGTTTGAAAATGCTTACTTGAGCTTACAAGAACGTGAAAGAGTCGTGCGTAAGTTGTCAAGTGTCGCACGGAGCATTAGTTGAAGTCTAAGTCCATGACACTTAGCAAAACAAGGTTTGAAGGCCCTCAAGGTGGCTTATCGAGACAACCTGGATCTGATACCATTGATGCAATTCCTTAATATCAGACAAGAAATTGGAAGAAAAACAGAGTTAAACTAAAGAATAAATAGGCTCAGAAAACTCAACAAATTCTGAAGAAATTCAGAAAGAAAATAAAGAAAAGAGTTTATAGATTTGCTATAATCCAAAATTTGTTTACATTTCCAAGATTAACTCCTACTTATACAAAGAGATGGTCCCCAAAGTTAATTGTAATTAACTCAACCAACTTTCCTTCTTTACAGACTAACATACTAGTTTTAGAATTTGCTAATCACATGACTCATTCACTACATATAACTACTTTATACCGTACTTTGAATTGAGCTAAAACAAATTTATTCTAACCATATTCCCCTATCAAACCATCTTTGTACTCCATAATGAAATTGAGGAAACTTAGAAAAAAAATATGATAATCGTCCCAAGTACAATCTTCCTCCAGACCATTGAACTACTTGATAAGACATTACCAGACAATCCTACCATTCTTCTATCTAACATGGCCTCAGAAACTAAAGAACAAATAAGAGAATTATTCTTGAACAGCTCACTCGAGAACTCAAAGACTTCTAAAGAAATTCAGAAAGAAAAGGAAGAAGAGAGTTCATTGATCCACTAGAATTAAAAAAAATTACACTTTGATGATTAAATTTTACTATCCCAAAGTTAGGTGTAACTAACTTTTCTTCCTAACAAACTAGTTCCATAGAATGTGCTAATGATGTAACTCTTTCACCACATTTAACTATTTTATACACTAAAAGAAATTCATTCTAATATGGCTGTAAAAATACTCCCCATCTAACCATCCTTGTCCTCAAGGATGAAATTAAGGAAACTACTGCAAAAAGTATGACATCTTCCTAAGTACTATCTAGCATTGCTCCACTTGTTAAGCCATTGAGAAACAGTCATGCCATTTTTTTTTATCAATTCTTCAATCTAAGATGATCTCATGAATTAGAAGAATATGGTCTGAAGAGGAGTGCACAATAGATAGAATGACTGAAGTAGGATGAGAGTCAATCTTCTTCTTTAGCTGGGAAATATGAAAGGTGAGGTGAATCTTGGAATCTGCCGGCAATGCCGATGTGTAATCCACTTTGCAGTAGCCACAATCTGAAAGGGCCAAAGAATTTAGCGGAGAGCTCCTGAAAAGTCTATTTGTCTAAGATTTAAGGGAAAGTTGTCTGTAAAGCTGGAGGTTTACATAAATCTAATCACCAACATTGTAAGTTTTGTATGTCCTTCCCTTGTTAGCTTGGGACTTCATTTGACTCTGAGCCTTAGTCAAACAAGCTTTGTTGGGACTTCATTTGACCCTGTGCTTTAGTCAAACAAGCTTTGAAGGCCCTCAAGGTGACTTTTCGAGATAACCTGACTTTGATACCACTAATTTGATCCCTTAATATCGGATAAGAAATTGAAAGAGAAACAGAGTTTGCCTAAAGAACAAATAGGAGAATTGGTCTTGAACAGCTCATTCGAGAACTTAAAGACTTCTGAAGAAATTTATAAAGAAAAGGAAGAAAAGAGTTTATTGATCTGCTAGAATCCAAAATTTGTTTACACTTTCAGAATTAACTCCTACTTATACAAAGAGATTGTTCCCAAAGTTAGTTGTTATTAACTTTCCTTCCTAACAGACTAGTTCTAGAATGTGCTAATCACGTGACTCCTTCACTAGATTTAACTACTTTATACCGTACTTCGAATTGAGCTAAAAGAAATTCATTCTAATACGACCGTAACAGAGGTCAAGCTATGTGCACAAAGAGGTAAGTACAAACGGATGCATAAAATTAAAGAACTTGTTTACAAAATAAACATGTACTCGTCTGGATCTTAAATATCTAAATATAAATAAGAACGAGTTTGCAGTGTCTTTTCAGAAACTTAATTTTTTCTGTTTTTCTTTTGAGAGGACGAAAGAAATACAGGTCAAATTGCACTCCACTTATTTCAAAGTTGAGAAAAACATCCAATACAAGAATATACTCTAGCAACTAACTTAGCAGCAAGAGAAATACAGGGAAAAGCTGGACAAGATAACTCGAATTTGCAATATATTCTGGAGATCAGCTTGATTATTGTTCCTGTGGCTTTATAATCCAGAATATGTTACAACTTTGAGACGAACTGACAAAAGTTCTTGAACTATATCTACGCTCCATCTTTAACTCAACGTGCTATTACTGGACTAACAATCTGGACAATCTCCTCAGCTTCACCTGAAGTCCAAGATGGTCCATACATTTCAAAAGATGATTGAGCAAGAAAACAGAGGTTGAAGACAATATCTGTCATCTTAGGCCTCTCTGCTGATTGCTTCGATGTGCATGCTGTCGCCAAGGCAGCCAAGTTTAGAGCATCATCAATAGGGTAAAAGCTCAACTTTGGATCCATCCATTTTCTAAACTTCTCCTTTCTGTTCTCTTCAACTTCCAAGATTCCACTAATTTCTTTGCACATGATCAGAGTCTCATCATTATAATCTTTTGATACCATTGCTTTCTTCCCTGAAAGCAACTCCAACAGCACAATCCCAAAAGCAAACACGTCAACTTTCAGCATCATTGAGTTGGTGGCATGTCTGGCTGTAGAGAAACCTGCAATTTTGGCTTTAAACCTTGAATCAAGAAGTATGCTACACGTTCGGATGTCCCCGTGAACTATACTAGGTTGAGTATGTTCATGCAGGTATTGCAGAGCATTTGCAACATCCAAGGCTATGTGTAATCTTCGACTCCAACCAAGTGATGCCACTAAGACAGAGGCAGAAGAAGATGATGATGATCCAGGAAACAACCATTGATCCAGTGAGCCATTTTCAGCATATTCATAAACTAAAAAGGAATTACCAAGATCGTCTGATGAAATGCCCATTAGTTTCACTAGATTTGCGTGATGTAGTTTTTGAAGTATTGTCAATTCCTCCGAGGCTTGTTTTGTTTTCTTGACTGCTACAACTTGGTCGTTCATTGTAGCCTTGTACACTGATCCTCCTAACCTGTATCTCTCACTGAGGTCGACAGTTGCCTCCATGATGATCTTCAGGTCATATATTATTGGCTTTCCAATGTAGCCAGAAACTCCAGGAAGAAGCTTATCTTGAATGTTCTTATGGTCCATAATTTCACCTTCTGAGGTTTTCTTGGTATGATAGAGATCAGAAGTTTCAAGAGTAGAAGAGTTATGGGCTAAGTTAGCCCTCCTCTTCTCGTCTAGATGACGCATGTATACCATCAAGCAAAATGAAAAAACTGCAAGCAACCCCATAATACTTAAAACAGTAATGACTATCCATCCATGTTTGGATTTTCTACTGCTTGCAGAAGAGGGGTAAGATTGCAGAATAATAGGAAGTTTTATTGGTATCAAGACAGGAGAATATATTGCAGCAGTGAAATTTCTGTAATTGTTGGCAGCCAGAATGTCAGCTCCAGATGCTCCAAACATATTGCTTACAGGCAACACATCATCCCAAGGCTGCCAAACATAAGTGACCAGGTACTGAAGTCCCTTTTCGAGATCAGAATGTGTGGGGCATTTACAAAACAAAGAAAAAACAGCTTCTGCCCCAATTGTCAAGTTGGTTGGATCTAGTGTTGGATTCATATCTTGCACCACGTGATAATTAGTAAGGTTCTCAAAAGCTCCTATTGAAACTGAATAAAAGCTGTCGCCTTTCCTGATCTGATAGGTGACATTGGAGAAATAATGAGAACTATTGCAGTAGCATTTAACAGGTGCAAGTAAAAGCTGGTCACGGAATAGCTCGGTATCCTCTGAGGCTAGACCTGTGGCCGTAGCTATACTTAAACGACTGACTTCAAGAAGATCAGATATACTTCCGACATCTAAATAATTTGGTGGACGGGCACGATATGAAATAAAAGTATCACAAGAAAAGGAAGAGTTAAACGAGCATGAAAAGTCTGTGTCTGTGCTAGATGGTTGAGCAGTTATGTTGGAGGACGAAAGTATGAGAAAGAGGAAAAAGTTGTAAAACAAGGAGACAAGAGGAACTACCATTGATGCAAAGCTTAGATAGCAAGACAACAGCTAGTAAGTTATATTTGTTAGCATGAGCAAGAGTGAATTTAGGAATTTATTTAACTTTAATGTGAAAGCTACAAAAATTCTAAAAGTTTGGAAGGATAGGAAAAAAAGAATATCTAGGAGGCCTTGTCTGTAGCTTTGTCTGTGAGATACCCTCTTGTCTTCTCTGCCTACTCTAAATAATTTAAGCAGCTGTCTCTGTCTTAATGCAACAATGCTTTATAAATTATTCTCAATAAGCAAAAGGAAATCATTTGTATATATAATCCTTACTTTCTCTTGACTATGACATTTCCTTTCAGTTCTTTCCTAGGGAAGCTCCAGCAAATAGATTAATACTAGAACCAAATATAGACGGCACGGATTCCTTCTTCCTACCAAAGTTCATAAAGTAAACAACAGAGAATAAAAAAGAAGAGATACCGGTGAATTCTCAGAGGTGGTTGTCAATAGTTATATGCTTAACATATGCAAGCGAGCTTGTGTCACTCTCTTATCTTAGGAGAAAGAGACCTAATCAAGTAGGAAAAAATTACAATTGTCAGTTTCATGGAGACAATCCTGGCATACTTTGGCATGAAGAACAATATTTTTCAGGGGATATTTTCCAGAAAATAAGTCATTTTCTAGGGTCTGATTGCCAGGAAAACATTTTTCACACGAGAAGGAAAATGACTTCCCTCACCTTTGCAATTATCTCAACAATCATATTTCATATCGTTGATTTAACCAACATTTAGATGTTATTATCAATCTTCAATGTTCAAAAATATAATCAAAACAATTTTATTATGCTAATATAATTATGAATCTTTTATTTTAAAATATCAGAAAATATTTTACACTCTCCACCCAACACCAGAAACGTATTCAGGAAAATGACTTATGTCATACCAAACACACCCTCGGTGTTGCTAGTTTTATCCTCTTTCAAGACCAAGTGAAGAGTTCTCTCCTTACAACTAAAACGAACAGAGCTGCTTAGTTTTTCCATGATAACAATTTTAAGAATTTCTGAAAACCTATCTTATGTGGAAAGCCTAAGCAAATCCTTAATGACAATGCAAAAACTATAGTTGAAGTCTTAAGAGGCAGAAAATTGAACATCCAATCATGCGTGGACATTGGTCCTGGGATGAACAAGCAAAAATCATAGAGCAGGTGAACAAGCACCAGTTCCACCCTCCCATAAAACATAAATCATGAGTATATCTTGTTTACAAAGAGCACAGATACCACATAGAAGCTAAACCCTAGCAAATGAGTGAACTTGCAATATCACCACCTTATATCAGCAAAACAGCTGCATTGCTGACAACTACGACATTTACTCAGATGCCAAGTAAAAGTCCAGTTACTCATTCGCAATTTTAAGCAACAATATAACAAAGATCAACACTTCAATTCTGATCAACATAATCAAAATGCTATGGACATGTAACCAGACCTCCTTGATAAGAGTTAAGTTGATGATGTTGACCTGAAATATGGAGGCGGCCATTTGCTAATTTGCAGTAAGTCTCTTTCTCGGATCTATTCTTCATCACACTGTTGGAACTGGAGAAGCATTACAGCTCAATATCCCGATCAGTGACATAGTCCTTCAACTACAAGTTGACTGGAAATTATTGGAATAAATGTTACGGACTCTTGAAGTTGATGATGTTGACCTGAAATATGGAGGAGGCCATTTGCAGTAAGTCTCTTTCTCGGATCTATTCTTCATCACACTGTTGGAACTGGAAAAGCATTACAGCTCTATATCCCGATCAATGACATAGTCTTTCAACTACAAGTTGACTGGAAACTATTGGAATAAATGTTACAGACTCTTGAAAGATCAGTAGAGCTCACTGTAAACATATGTCCAGGTGAAGCAAGGGGGAGAGCATCACTTATTTCCTCAGTTCTCTCTTCTACAGAAGCAGCTTTTAGGAGCTTGCCTTCCTTCCAGAGACTCTTGACAAGCAATTGTTTGGTATGAGCATCAGGCAACAACCCAGAGTTCCTCATGTCTTCAAAAACCCTGAGTGCAAGAGCAGCTCTTTCACATTTGCAATAAGCATGTATGAGAACTTTATACATATAAGCGTCAGGCTCTATACCACTCTGCCTGACCATCCCAAAAAGCCTCTGTACAGTTTTTATATCTCCGTGAAGAGCAAAATGGTTCATTAGTCCAGAATATGTTTGTGAATCTGGAACAATTCCTAGTAAACTCATTTCTTCGAGAATATCTAAGGCGTCCGAATTCATTTTACATTTTATCAATGTCCTTAGCAGAGATGAGTACAGAAGCAACTGACTGCTTTTAGATATTGGACCACAGATCGTTTTAATGCTTTTGAAAACCCTAAGGGCAGGATCACCATAACGAGAAATCCCATAGAAATCAATAATTAACCGTATCGTGCTGAATGACAATTGAATGCCCTCTCTTTCAACCTTAGACAAAAGTTGATCAACCAAGTCGACACATCCTTGGCGAGCTAATTTGGTTATCATTCTTGAAATTGTGTATATATTGTGAATGAATCCTGGCTGACAAGAAACCCAGCAGAAGAACTGCCAAGCTGTTTCTGCTGACTTGAAGCTCCTGATCATCTTGCACACCAACCTAGTCGTCCAAACTAAATTTGCATCCTCCAGTGCTGACACCTCCTCAGCGCCCCAGTTCTGCAAAGCATTAGCTAAAGAAGCTGGATCCAACCATGGTTTCAGGTGAGGTTGATCCACAGCATTAGTATTGTTACCGTCAATCTCTTCATCTTCATCATCACTGTCGTCTTCACTACTGTCCATAGAGTAACCAATCATCTTAATCCTCCCATCCGATAACATGTCCCTTAGCAATTCATTTGTCTCAGCATCATAACCAGCACTCTGCATCTGCTGCAATGACCATAGCATAGCTCGAACAGGCAATATTCCATCACTCCTCATCTGATCAAGCAAGACTTTGACGACATCCAACTGATTGGCAATAGTGAATGCTTCCACTAGAACAGAATACTGCTTTAATGTACGTTTGATCCGAACATGGGGCAACATATGGAAAAGCTCGATGGCTGAATCCAACTCTCTAGTTCTAACAAGATGCTCAATTATAATAGTGTATGTCCTACAATTAGGAAGTGCCCCTTCTTCAATCATCCTATGGAATACCCTCACAGCATCACTATCCTTACCCACCTGAACATATAATCCCATTACAATGTTGTAAGACTCAGTACATGGATGCTTTCGAAGGGTTGTCCTCCACTCGTCCCACACACGGACAACATCGTTAAACTCTCTACTAATGGCATACCATCGCATTTGATCCATGTAACTAACACGTGCCGCATTAACGAACTTTCCCGAGTTAATGGCATTGATAAGTGCTTGGAGTTTGGCAGTCTCCCGCGCCTTAGCAAGAATCTTGGCTAATGCATAAAGGGTATTATGTGTATGTGAGAAATGTGGAATCTTTTTAAGACATTCAATCAAATGGAGAGCTGATTCAACAGAGGGAGCTGATTGAAGTGCCTTAGTGACTACAAAAGAATCCAAAGAAGGATTCTCCAGATAGGTAACAAGATTTTCTGAAGAACTAGACCGAAGAGCGAGTCTTATTGAATCGATAAGCCTCGCTCTCTGGAAGTACAAAGCTACCTTGTTCACATTTTGGGTTCCCAAGAAACGGCGAAAATGCAGAGATACATAATTAAATGTGCTGTTTATCTTGTAAAATCGATTTAAGTACATATAAACTTACAGGTAGACAACAACCTACAAGAAGTTTAGGGACTTTAGTAGGAAGGAGATGAGGAGTAGGAGTCAAAACTTCGTGTGATAAAAATATCAAACAGTTGGTGTGCAGTCAAAATTTCATGCGACAAAAATATCAAACAGTTGGTGTGCAGTCAAAATTTCATGCGACAAAATATCAAACAGTTGGTGTGCGTGGACAACTCTTCAGGAATTTGCAGAAACAAATAACTTGGCCATTGTTAGATCAACAGAGAGGAAGATAATGGGACTAAGCTCATCATTTAGGGCCAAATTCCAAAGATTCGCGGTGAATTTTCTTTGCTTTGTGAACTATGACTCCCACTTCGTTGAATTATGGAGCCTATGTTCCAGCCTTTTGGGATTTCACGTAATGGGCTTTGGACGCGGATAAAGTGAAATTTGCGTACTTCAAATTGTTTGTCGGTCTAATTCAATTTGTTTATCTAGTTTTGAGTTTTGATCCTAAGGGTGTGTTTGGTATGAAGGAAAATGTTTTACATTTTTTATTTATTTTCTCATGTTTGGTTGGTGAGTAGAAAATATTTTTCGAAAAAGATTTTTTGGTGTTTGATTTATGAATAAAAAAATATTTTGAGAAATATCTTTTATTTTTACTTCGAGTAGAAAATATTTTTTTAATTGAAATTGAAAATATTTTTTAATAATAAACTTAATTTTTTTTTGGGTAGGGTGGATTGGTGGTGGTGGTGGGGTGAAAAATAAAAATTTGAAATTGAAAGTATTTTTTAGGGAAAAAGGTTTAAAAAAGGGAAACTTACAAAAATATACTATAATAAAAAAATATTTACCATTTATAGCAATAACATTTCTTTTTCACTTGATCACTTTTAATAAATTTATAATACAGATTACAAAGAACAATTTATTATTCACATATAATACAAGTTTTATTGATGGATAATACATTTATCATACATTTTAATACACTTATAATACAATGTGTCAACTTCTTACTAAAAAAAGCATAATATATTTTTAAAAACAATTATAATACATATTCTACTTATATATAAGAGTGAGTTTATGATGGACATTTGAATGTCCCATCATAAACTCCCTATATTCTACTTATATAATATTCTACTATAAATCTTTTTTTCTACTATATAATATATATTTATTTTCTAAGGGAGTTTATATAATATATAATATAATATAATATAATATATAATAATATAATATAATAAATCATTTACAAATGACTTAAAATATTTAATATTTAAAATTCTACCATAAAATAGGTTGACTCTCAAAATTCTATCCGGGTCACATATATTGAGACAGAAAAAATAACATATATCATTTTAAAATTATCAAAAAAGTATTAAAAATAATAATAATTAACAACTTAAAATATCTGGAAGACATTTTAAAAGGGTTAATTTTATAATTTTATCCATATCACATAAATTAGGAAGTTATTTGAAAGTTACATAAAAATATTATAAATCACAATAATGAATAACTTTTAAAAAAAAAAAGTGCAAATTTGGATGACTCTTCAAATTTCATTTGTGTCACATAAATTGAGACAACAAAAATAGCATATTTTGCGTCCATTTTAATTTATTTGTCTTAATTTTTTTTTTATATTTACAAATTGCGTAAAAATACTATAAATCATGATAATTGACAACATAAAATATGTTTTGAAAAAGATACCAAAAATTGCACTGATTCTTGAAGTTAATCTATCGTAAAAATACTATAAATCATGATAATTGACAACATAAAATATTTTTAAAAAATATACATATAAAAAATTTCGATTGATTCTTGAAATTAATCTATCGTTAAA